TTCACATTCTTCAATAGGTTGGCTGCACAATCTCCCCCATTTTCTATCATCAACTAAAGATGAAGGAGTGGAATCCATGTTCAATGAGATTCACTAGTCTTTTTGGCTCCGGTTGATCACCTTCGCCAAAGTCTTCAATGTTTGGTCTTCAAGAAACACCAACATCAACGGCTTCAAATAACTTTTCTTGTCGACCGATCCCACAATCTATAAACCAAATTCATCACGCCAAGCCAAGAAAAAATACATTGTCTTGACTTACTATCAAGCTGGACCCTCTCATCATTTGGAATTGTGAACAAAGGCTCGATAACCAAACACTCTCAAGTGCTCTAAGATACATATTTGCCGGTCTAAACTCTTTCTAGAACTATCACATTCAAAGGATAGGAAAGGGGACAATTGATCACATCAACCGCTATTATCATTGCCTCACCCAGAAAGATCTTGGCAATTTAGCTTATGAAAGCAAACAGCTTGTTTCTTTCCCAATGGTGCGGTTTCATACCTTCGGCAACGGCCATCTTTGTTGAGGGTCTTCTTAACTGTCTTTTGGTGCCGAATTTTACCCTTGGCTGCGGACAATACTCATCATAATGCCAATGTATTCACCACCATTGTCTGATCGGATGCACTATCAACTTCTGCCGTTTTGTTCTCTTTCAACCATGGCCTGAAAATGCTTAAATACTTTCTTAAGAACTTGATCGGTTTAGTTTTTAGTAGAAAAGCCCAAACTTTTCTCAAAAAATCAGTTCAATGAAAGTAACAAAATAAAGTGCCACCACTATTGTTCTAACTTTTCATAGGACCACAAAACATCTGAAATGATATCAACTCCAAACATTTTCTTTTCTAGAAGGAATATTTTTATGAAAAGAAACTCTATGTTGTTTACCTGCCAACAATGAACACAAGTTTTTAAGATGCGTCCTTTCAAACTGGTAGAAGCTCTTTCTTGAACAAAAACTTGTAAACCCCTTTTGCACTCATGTGCCCAAAAGTCGCCTGTGCCACAATTTCAGTAGAGATAACATGTTCATGCATTGACAACACCTTTACAAAGTTTTCCTTGCGATCGAATTAAAGTGTATGAAGTCTTCTTGCACTTTGCCACACCAAAGAACCCTTTGTGAGCTTCCATTTCCATCACCAAATTGTTTTGGTAAAACCTTCATTCATCTAACTTCCCAGTAGAGATCAAATTGAGGCGAATGTCAGGAACATACCTCACATCTTTAAGTAAAACTTGGCAAACCCAAATTTTGTTCCAAGCAAATATCACCCATACCAATAATCTGGACAAAACCTTCATTTTCCATTCGAATTAGAACCATAATCTCCTTCGGTATAGGTGTGGAAAAAAATCAACTCGAGGAAATCACATGAAAAGAAGCACCGGAATCAATCAGCCAATTGCTCTCTTGGCCCACAAAATTGATACAATCATTTTCACAAAACGACCATGAGATATTCAATGTAATTTGCCGTTGTGTCTTCTTGCTTTTATCCACCACTTTTGTCATTGCCTTTTCTCTTTGTTCTTGAGCTTTCGCATTCTCGCTTCATGTGCCCTTTCTCATGGCAATAATAACACTCAATGTTTTTCTTTGAAAAAAAAGCCATCTTTTGATTTTGGTCACTATCACCCTCAATGGGGTCTATACAAATCTTTACAAAATAATAGGTCCTCCATTTTAGTTTTCCAAGTTACCCAATTGCTTCTATTGAAGCTAGACATCGAACCCACATTTCCCCTTCATTGATTTACACAATAATTAACCCACATAAACCGTAAGCTCTGATACCAGTTGTTAGGAAAAATATGTGATTTCCACAAGTAAATCAATCAATGGAAATAAAAACTAATGCAGAAAATTTAATCAAAAGCAACACAAGAGTTTTACGTGGTTCTCAATGTGAGTACGTCACAGGATCAAATCCGATTCTTACTTACCAAAGAGTTTTCAAACATTACAAAAGGCACTTAATGTCTCACAAACCACCCTTAGGTGAATTCCAAATAATCAGAATAAACAAAGAGGAAAGACCTCACCAATTATGAACCAAAATCTCAGAACCAGAGTGAAGAAGATCCAAAAATAAAAACCAAATCAATCCACACAAAGATTGCCAAAATCCACCCACTAAATCAAAACAGTAATATGATTGTCCACAATAAATTAGCCCACCAAAGGTGATATAGCTTTTTGTAACCCACCGAATTGATTTTTCAATCAATACAATTTGTTGCAGCACATTATCTCACAGAGAGGAATTAATCAGGCAGCCACTCTCTTAGAAGAAGAAAACAATGTATTGTGAATTCTAGGGTTTATTATCAAAATCTTAGTTGTTTCCAAACTAAATTGGGTCTCCACAAAATTAGATATAATATATAAAATATATTATAACTAATACCAAATCAAATTTAACTCTTTTAATAAACCAATTGGGTCCCACACTCCAATTAAGGAGGGTTAACCCAACAGAATTAGCAAGGGTAAGGAGGATGGATCTCAGCACATACAAAGGGAAGGTTCTATCCTTGTTTGTCAACGTTGCTTCCAAAATGGCTTCTTCCCTTTCTCTTCTCTTTTCTAATCTTGTTTATTGTTGCCTATATTCTGCAAAATTGATATATGGTTTAATCATTTATCTTCTTTTCATAATTACTACGGTTTCTGGTGTGATATTGTGTATCTGGGGTTGAAACAGTGGTTTAGCAAGATTCAAATTCTACCCAATTGATTGAAGTTTACAACAAATACAAAGAAAAATGTATGAGAATCTTTCAATCACTCCATTTTTTGGGGGGCTTTTTCTTTTTGTCTCTAAAAGTGTATAACAGCCGAAATTAATCTCTTTATATTTTGTGTAAAACTTTTCAGTTAAGACTATTGAAATACAATAAAGTTTTAATTTTTTACTTCAATTTTACATTCATCATCTTTTATGTTTTATTTTTGCTGGGTGGTATATTGCCCTGTATAAAAACCCCATGGGTGTTAAAATATTCATATACATGGAGTGTATAAATTTTTTGATTGCATATACATTAGTGTATATATATATATATATAAATTACATATACATTCATCCATAAATTTAGAGTTGCAAATTTTTAGTTTCCCCCATGGTAACCTTACAGCTCAGAACTTAATGGGCCAACAATAAAACAATACACAGAGTGCTGCACTAGCATATGGTTAGCGTCATAGATGGTTGTCCAAATCTAGGAACTTTTTTGATGCTTTTATATCTCTTTTCTTCAGATAATTTTGCTTGGGATTTTTGAATCAATTGAGTGGTGTGGTCAGTGGGACATTGAGTTAAAGTTTGGATTTGTGATAAACTTTTGGTCTGCTATATATTGGTATCTATATTTATAATATAATAGACGAGAGAATAATTTCTTTAGGCTGTATGCATAATCATATTTGCTCATCACATCCTTGTTGGAGCTTTTATGGAGTCTTTTGTGAATAAATTTATTTTGGAATTAAAAAGCGTGTGGTATGTCCATTGATTTCTTTCATTTTTGATTTATAAATACGGTAAAGCGTACTGGTGTTGTTTGAAATTTAAGTGCTGGTGGAACTTAGCATTAGTTTATGTAACTTCATAATAAACAGAACAAGTTTTTTCTGACATTTCTTCGTTACAAAATATTAAAAATGTGGTCAAGTAAGTTATAACTTAAATATTTATGCTCAAGTAACTAAAAAAAACTATCGTAATTTGAAATGTTCAATGCCCTTTAACCCTGATCAGT